CTGCGGCGGCAGCGCCTATGACGAGTTGTCCGCGGCGTGGCGAGCCCCCCGAGCTGCGGGATCTGGGGTTTATTTTAGTCCGGCGCCAGGTTTACGACAGACTCGAGGGGCGGAGCAACATCCCAAACGAGCAAACAATGGTCATTGACATCTTTTTCTCTCGCCCCCTAGCCCCCATAATGGAGGCAAAAAAGGTAAAGGGGGCATTTGGGTGTTTCTTGAAAAGATCACCCCCTTTCCTTTCTCCATCCTTCCCGCCTTTATTCCGGCAGTGACCCCAGTCCTGGAGCACCAGAAATAGGCAGCCCGGGGCTGGCGTCCAGACTTGACGTGAAGGACTCTGCGCTTCTCCCCATCCACACCTCCCCCCAGTTTTCCTAAAGTAACTTCTTAGTAAAGTCCAGTATAATTGGAGAGGGGGTGTAGAGCTATATTGGGGTGTGTGTGTGCAAGAGTTCGCCTTGCCCTCTCTAGCTGCCAGTCCCTCACTCTCTCCATCGACTAAAGTGTTAAAAAAAAAAAGGCTCTTGGGTCCCACCATAAGAGCGCATAAAGAGGAGAGGTACAATGACCGTTCTCTGCCATTGTAGGACTCCTAATTTATGCATCTTTAGCCTCTTAAGCATCATTTTGCGGGCAACCAAACGGGCACTTCCAAATTAGCTCAAAGTATCCAAATCCAAAGAAGAGAGAAAACACACACATAGAGACACTCACAAATACACAGATGCTAACTTGTAAGTATTCTTTCTTTTTCCTCTGTGGGACTGGAGATTGAATACGGGGAAGAGGGTACATTTTTATTTGCGATGTTTTCTACTGAGTTTTTACCTGTAAAGTTCTGTTCAGTTTTCTTTTCCTCTGGTTTTCCTTCTCTTTATCGCTCTAAGGAAAGTAAATGTCGAACTGAGAATTTATTCTCCTATCACTACCACGATCAAAAAGAAGAGAAGGGAAAATCCCGAAAATTCAAGAATTTCTAGCTGTTTGAAATGGGTCTTTTTGTTGTTGTTAGAAAAAACATAACCTGTTCAAGGAATATGAAACGGTAGCACAAATCAGGTGAAAATGGTAGCTTCTTGTGAAAATACAAAACCATAGATAAACCGACTTTCAATAAACATCTTTTGAATTGCAAATTTACCTATATTGCCAAGAAAAGCACAGACATTGTGAAACCTCCACAAATGCTGAACACTACAAGGAATAAGACAAAAGAAATGTGCAAACCTTACTAAATTTTGAGTAATCGAGTAATCTTGCAATAAAAACAATAACGGAGACACAAATACAAGATTTTTAAGTTTTTCTGGAGACTTAGAAAGGAGAAAGAAACTAGAACAGTGCTGTTTTAAAGCAAGATTTTTTTTTTAAACTAAAGGACATCTGAAATAATTCCACTTTAACCTACTAGTACATGTTGTAAAGGCAGGAACACTGTTACTTACTTCTTTTCTGTTTGATTTCAGTTATTCCGTTGGAATATCTGCTGTGGTTTTGCCCTTGTTTTTTAAATCATTGTTTTGTTCATTTCAATGTAGTTCTGCAAAGAATCGTTCTTTCTCTGGTGAGGGTAGAGGAAGGGACCACTATAGTCACCTGTGGGGAGGAAGTGTCAACCAGGCAAGTGCAGAAAGTAGTATTTTGAAATGAGATAATAACAAAATGTAATGCTATACAAATTTTCTGTAGAGTTCAGTTACTGATTTAGCCAAGTTAGCATTGCCACAATTTTAACATGCTGTTACTTTTACAGATCTTTCTGGAACTTGAAGCACTTGCAATAGGTCTTTATTCTTATCTGCACTGCAATTGTGTACTCCCCCCCCACCCCCCACCATCTAGTGATGCACATTGAATCATTAATGTATGTGTTTAAAAAATGGGTGATAGAATTCTAAAACTGCAGGTTGTCTTTTATATTTTGGCTTAATTTAAACTATACTGCTCACTTGTATTAGCTTAAATTAGAAGATAGTAGAAATCTTTCACTTCAAACTTTCCTCAGCGATAAATGGTAAGTAAAAGTAGTTATTGGAGCTATGGATATAAAGTCATTTGTAAAATATGTTGTATTTTTCAAGTTCTAACATGTTTCAGAAATTAAATCCACTGTAATAATCTTCAGAGAGCCTAAACGGAAAATGTGTTTAAAATTGCATGATTCTTTCCCCAGATGATTACTATTTTCGGCGTATACATTTCATTTTGTAATTCTTTTATAGAACTTTGGAATAAAAGTTCACATCACAGGGTTATATTACAAGTTATTACTTTGTTCTTCAGCTGTGTTAGGTGCTGCTACAGGTACATTTACACTTGGAAGGCTCCCATCTTTGAATAAAAAGTACTTTATCCTCTCTCTTTCAAGAGTTATTTCTGATTACTTGGGAACTTGCTGTCTGAAATAGTACTATCTTCACTGGAGGAGAGCAGTTCTGAAGAAAACTGTACAGATTTTCACCATTTCTCCCATTATTTATTTGTTTCTCTACAAATTACATGCCTTCATGCTGGAAGCACTATTGTATGTCCATAGAGTGTTCTGAACACATTTGTAGTCTAGAGTATGTAAACTTGTACACTTACATATAGTCACAAATGAAAATAGTCCCATTGTTATTCCATCAAAGCTATCCATCAAATTTGTTCATCAAGCCATTGTGTGCCTAAATTATGTGTGAAAAATTATACTCAAAATTCTTAAGTACTGTTGACTAGATTGGGTTTTGTAGGAAAATATTTATGAGGAATGTTTTTTGAGTTTTTTTTTCTTTCTTTAAAAACAGTGCTGACACTCAACATCAACAACAAAACAGCAAATACTACCAAAGGGAACCCAGTGGAGAGAGGTAGCCCTTCCACTCCACTCCTCTGCTCCAGACTCCCAGCTGCCCTCTTGAGAAACACTGCTGTCTCTTCTGAGACAGTCCACACACCTTGAAGCATGTTCCTTTTAGTGTGCTTTATATATTTTTGTATCTTGCTTTTTTCATAGCTCAGGTTTTTGTAATTTTATACATCGCACTTAGCAGCGACAAATTAATGATGCTGGCAGAGATAGAAAATTTTCCTGAACAAGAAGATTCAGTAGGTTCTCTTTGCTTTCTGGTGAAAATGTGGTATTCATAGAAAATCTCTGATATGTCCATTTATGTTAGGGCAAAAATATTAGTCAAAAAAAATCTGAAGTAGGAAACTTTGTAAACTTGTGACTTTCTGTTTTTGGACAGAAGCTCAGAGAAGAGGGTTGGAGAAACACTTAAGAAACCTGCCTACATATTCAGCCAATCCTTTACAGGAAAATGTTTTTCTGAGGTGGAAAGTAGATTTCTAATGTGTCCCTAATTTCCTTAGAAAGACTGTGTTTGAAATGTTACTATCTGCTTAGTATACAAGAAGATAATGCTTTTTAGGAAAGATACACTTGACATGTGATTAATTTCAAATAGTTGTGAAAAATTTGATTAAAAATTCTCATTTTGTGAAAGAGGCTTTCAAATATCATCTTTGCATTTGAGAAGAAATAAAGAAATATGTCATTATACTAGCATTTTGAAGTAAAATTTGAGGTTAAAAAGAGGAAGTAGCTACAATAGAGATGAAACATGAAGTTTTAACTATTTAAAAATATGCTAATTTCACCATTTTATGAAATTTGATTCTTTTTAGTTCTCAAAAGCTTTTTGTTTTAAATTTATCATTTCAATTACTTTGAATTGCTTACAATAATTTTACACTTGGGCTTATGACTTCATTTCCCTGTGACAGAATCATCCTTTCATATTTTCTTCACAAAATGCAAACTTCTTACAATTTAACTCCTATTAAAAAAATCTTGAAATTCACAAATTTTAGGTTGAAAATACTTTTCTGAGCAATAATTACATTTTAAATTAAGGTGATTATTAGTACAATGTGAGAACAAATGGTAGCTGTTGAAGACATTATTGTTTTGAAATCATAATAGTAGGTATTATGTATTAGGTAGTATTATAATAGTAATTAAGAGATTTCTAACAAACAAAACCAAAAACTAGACACCTAGTTTCATGATAGAAAATAACATTAGATTACAACAGAGTTGTATTAATAGGAAAATTAACCAGTATCTCATAACTCCCTTACCCTAGGATTGTGAGCATGTTTTTAAAAATTCAT